TGCTRTTATGATACTGGGAAAACCTGGGATTCACTTAGCAAAAACAGTTAAAATATGCAGTTGTGTGTTCTTTATAACGTCCTTCAAAATTTGTATTTCTTTTGTCTCCACTGACAAAATACTGATGAAAAGGATAACCTGAGTTAGAGGAAGGAGAGCAAAGGTCTGTGTATTGGTAAAAAATGCAATGTAGGAGCTGAAATGGATTGCACAGACCCAGGTTGGCCAAAAGCAGTCAGCKCAAACTTAGAAGAGAGGCATCATGCTTAAATGTCTTAATCAGATTTGTTAACCTTTGTAGACTCTTAAAGACTGTTCAGGGAGGCCTTACCTATTTAAACTTTCCAACTGTTGTGTGTCCTTTTTGCCTCATAGTCATGTGTTCAGTGTGATCTACCAGCACTTACCTGTGAGAACTTAAACAGTGTTGGCCCATTCACGTGTGAATTGTTGTCTGGGATGAGGGTGCATCCTAAACCCATAGGTTACTTCAATTAACAGCCCCACAATAAGTTACCAGGTCTTTTGGGATTGGTTTGATTTGGTTTTTTTAATGTGGACTCCACACAAAACGAAACAGTATGCAAATGCATAGAATTACAGTGGTATCAAAATAAGTTTAGAACTCTGTCATCTTTCTAATACTGTCTTGAAGGAATCATTCTCTTTCTTACTCCTACTCTTGACAGCAATTTAAAATGAGAATCGTGGGGGCAGAGGTATGTTTGCCCCCAGCTACTGTGATTTTTATTTTTTTTCCTAGCTTTCTCTTTGCCTGGACGTGTTTTATTCAGAGGCATTGCTTTTCTCAGTTTTGAGAGTTTGGCTGTTGAACATCAGGAGAGTATTTAATTTCTTATTCCTGTATATCTGAAGATTCCACGCAGGAGGTCAAATTAGTTAATTAAAGAAGATTACCTCTTTGCTGATCTGAAGTATGCTTATTGCAACAGCAGGCGGATACAGTCTGAAATAGATCTCAGTGATGAATCTCAGGTCGTTCCAGACTGTGGGATTCCAGGAAAATGCTAACGCTGCATACAGACAGTGGGAAACCTGGTGGCCCTCTGGGGAAATTCAGATTGGTTTTTACCAGGTTCCTAACAGATGCTGTTCAAATATGTTGGACCAAAACTGGAGTATCTAAAGTTAGACTAAGCACAGATTTAGGAGTCTTACTAAATGAAGAAATCGTGACGTGTGTTACTGTCTATCTTCAGCTCCCATGTAACTTAGTGGGATTTGCATTTGATCAACAGCCTAAAAGGTCAGACATCTTTTAAATAGAAACACAATCTCAGTTTCAACGACCAGGAACCTGTAGTTTAGGCTTTTGAGTCTTGCAATGTGTGGATGTTAGCTAAAGTTTATTTAGGAAGACAGAGAGCATGGCAAAACCAGTTATCTGCTTGAGTTTAGACTGGTATTTTAACCACATGTAGTAGGGGGCAGAGAGAAGGAAAAATCACATTTTGCTGCTTGGGTTTCTTAGGGATTAATTAAAAAAAAACCCCAAGAACTATTGCAATATAATTAAAATTAAACTTTTCCTTCTGTTTTTGATAGCCATAGGATTATGTGTAGATTGACAAGTTGTGCTGATTTTAATCTAATATTCAGCTTTTCAAATATATATTTCGTGAAATGAAACTTTGTAAATTCATACCAAACTGGGAGAAAGCTGAGCTGTCAGTGACCCAGCTCACAGCCCCAGCAGCAAACTGCACACTGGGCTGCATCAGCAAGTATGGCCAGCATGARTGGGGACCCATCCACTCACTACTTGTGTGGCTGCTTTGGGGTGGTGTTCAGCATGGAGCAGAGAAGGTTCAGGAGCAATCTGCAGGTGCTTTCAACCTAAAGAGAGAGCCAGACTCTGTCCAGACCTGGACAGCAAATGGGGAAGGGGCAGTGTCASAGATAGCATCAAGTTCATTTCATAAGAGATGATTCTTCACCATGAGCATGGGTTTGGAACTCTGGAACTGGTTGCCCAGAAGTTGTTGGCTCTCCATCTTTCAAGATGTTGGCAAGGCTCTGAGCATCCTCACTGAACTTTGAAATTATTTCTGTGCTAAATGAGTGTTTGGACCAGATGACTTTGGGGATAGATTCCAATGMCTTTTTTCTTCCTTTTTCTCTTCTGTGATTCTGTATCAAGCAAGATTTAAGTTTTATGGAGAACCTTAGTCACTTCCTAATGGGAGTACATAAACTGATTGGATTGCAGTCTAGATTTCATAAACTCTTCCTTCTGAATGCCTTTGGAGTCCTTGAATGTTGAATGTTCATCTTAATATTTTTCATGCTTTTGATTCTGTACAGAGTTAATTTTAATTTTTTTAGTTTATTTTTGAAAAACATTTTCAGAAATAATCCTCAAAATTGAACCAGAGGGCTTTGACTGACTTGAAAGTTTGTGTAGCTGTTGATGCCTGTCTGCTAAAGGTGGCTGTGCTGCTGSAGGTCAGTTTTGTACACTGACCAAATCTGTAACATAATCTTTCCTTTAGTTGGGAATACTTGACATAGGTCAGCTTTGCTGATGTGACAATCTTTGAATTYAACTCTATAGAGCAATTCTGTCTTGGCTCGGTGCTGTTGCTCTTGTAAGGTCTATTGGTGCTATTCATTACGTGAAACTTTGTTTCTCCAAAGTACTTAATCTTTGTGAAATGAAATTTTATTGGCGATATTCTGTGTCTGGGGCATGTACTGTTGCTCCTTTTGTATGAGATTTTTTTGTTTGTTTTAAAGAAAGAAATGTTTTTAAAGTCTAGCAGTACATTACTAGTTCCTTTGTTTTATTATGGCATCTTCTGCTATGACACCAAATAATTGTACAATACTTGTGAGCTTTTGTTCTCAGCAAAAATACAGAGCTTTTTGCAGAAATCAGTGGTATAGAACCCAAAGCCAGCAGCAGCTCCCAGCCTTCCATACTCATTGTTTATTCTTGTAAGATAAATCATTTGACTTGGAGTTTGCATTAGTGACAGATTAAGCTGCCAATGTAAACATTGTAGGATCGAGTATTTTGAAAGTTGTGTGTAATTTTGTGAAGGAACTAAACCCACAAGTATCCGGAAGCAGTGTAATGTTGCGTGTGTTTGAATAATATTTTGCAATGTTCATGAGAAAGGGAAGTAAGTATTTAGAAAAGTATTGGTGAAATGGTAACAGTTTATGTTTCCTAATTTTTGTTTACTGAAAATAATTCTTGACACATAGAGCTTTTAYTCAAGTTTCCATGCAAAGTTGATGTAGGAGAAGAATGTTGAAGTAGGAGAGACACGTGTTACTGTACAGCCAAAAAATGCCATTATTTATAGTTGGGTAACCTTTCAATTTACTTTTGACAGTACAGTTGATTTAGAGTGAAAATGTTTTGGTTTTAAGTCTCAGATTTTGGGGTCTATTTGTGAAATAGTAGACATCTTCAGATTTTAAGAAATAGTAAATGGTTTTCATTTTTTTGCAACAGTATGTTTATCAAAAGTGGAACCCATAAAATTTGAAATTSGCCACTCTGATGTTCACCACCATTCTTTAAAATACTTTTTCTTTTTTAGTCCACACTATCACATTATTCACTGTGGGAATGATGACACATTTTGAACATAGGCCCATCCTGGGAGGATCCTTAGCTTTCTTAAAAAGAGAGGAATGAACCACTGTTTACTTAGCAAAACCAGTTTGGATTAGATGAGCCTGCGCATTTAACCTGGAGAAATAAATTCCTAATAAAATGGAGTACTTGTGTCTGCMCTACTGAATGCTGGTTATTTTTGCTCTTAACTTTATTTGTCTTTTTCTACATGGAGACACTGCAGGTATTTTGTTCAGTTCTCCTGTAACTTTAATTAGCAACATGTTATGAACAAAAAACTAGGAAAGCAAAAGAAAAAGTAATTTTTAAAAATAGAACTGAAAAGCATTTTTCTTTTTTATAAATATACTTGAAAATATCATTGAAGAATTTATGCATACTGGTATGGATCTTGGTCTTGCTGTAGAGAAAAGTAGAAAATTCTATTCCCTACTGCTTAGATGTTAGGTTTGAAAGATCTCTATTTCTTGTTTTCTGAAAAGTCTAAACTTGGTTAACACTGAGATGCCTCTGTAGTGTGAAACACAGGTTGCTTAACTGATTCAGTTTTTTAAGGGATTCTGCTAATTTTAATACTGAATAAATGGTTCTAGTACTTGGATGCAGATCAAAATTTTCATGTGACGCTGTTGTGGGTAGCACTTTAAAGGAAAATATAGACTGATTATATATTTGTATTATAGACCTTGGCTATAATTAATATTACTGATTCTTTTTTTTTGGTTAAGAAACGTGATCTGTGTTACCAGGTTTTACATAAACATACTGCAAAATCAAATTGATCTTATAAAAATGTTAAAAAACTTTTCGAGGATTACTTTTACACATTTACGGATGGCTTTGAAACAGGGCAAACTGTTGTGTTCTGAAAAACGTTTTTTCTGCCATTTTATATGAAAGGATAGTGCCAGAGGTGAAGGATGGTGAACAGTGAGTTAGGTTAGTTGTCAGATACAGGTGATAAAAAGTGGATTGGAACTTTCTCTTAATTATTTCATTAGAGGTATTTAACTGTCATTCCAACAGAACAATAAATTTATCTGTAGCACAGTAATTCAGCAATGCAGCTGAGAATATTAGTTAAAGAATTCTGTCTTATTTTTAATTGATTGTGAACTAGAATCTTCAGTGCTGGTGCTTTGAAAGTGTAACTTATGATTTCTCCATTTCTTCATCTAATTCTTTAAAAAGTTGCTTGTTGATTCAGAAGGTTTAAAATGATGTAGTGAAAGCCATTTCTTCACTGAAAAATGTGATCAGACCATTTTGTTCATATTTCTGGGAAATTGGTTTTAGTTTAGAAGTGTTTTGTTTCATGTTTGTTCTGAATTTAGATTTCTGATTTTGGCTGAGGCTACAGCATGATTAAAGCAGCTGCTCTCCTTCACAGGCCTATGAAGAATACACCAGCAAGCTCGATGCTCTTCAACAGAGGGAACAGCAGTTACTGGAATCCATGGGCAATGGAACTGATTTCTCTGTCTCCAGTTCAGCTTCAACAGACACAGTTGCATCATCTTCCTCCTCTAGCCTCTCTGTAGCACCTTCATCCCTTTCAGTTTATCAAAACCCTGCTGATATGTCACGGAATAACCCTAAGTCTCCACAGAAGCCTATTGTTAGAGTCTTCCTGCCCAACAAGCAAAGGACTGTGGTGAGTCAGTTTGTATTCACATATTTGTAACCTCAGTATTTCCCGTACCTCTCTCCCTCTGTAYAGAAAAGTTAATTTAAGAGCTGAAAAAATACTGTGAAGAGGTCAGAGAAGTGTCATGATCACTGTGGTCTACAACACCCAGTTGTTTTGATCTGTTGAGTGTTTCTGACAGGAGTAACACCAAAAAAGTCCATTGTAGCAATAATAYGCAATTTCAGGAGTTTTATAACTATGATAATACCTCAAGAAATATTTTTTCTCAAACCAGCTTTATCAGATAAATAGTAATTTACCATTTTACAATAGTTGGGAAGGTACAGTAATCTATATTTCTTGTATTACACAAAATTATTGATAAGTTTAACGGGACAAGATGRAGGAAGTGTTTTCACTGTTGTCAAAGTTCCTAGAAGCATTGAATGCTTTAGAGCAAGAACCAGCCTGTTGCAGCTAAGAAGAGCTCTGTAGAATTGCTTGGGGTTTTCTTCTCTTGGGTTTTTTTTTTTTCCTCCTTCCCCACTCACTGTGGTGTGTGTTTGTGGGGAGACAGGGATGCTGTGGGGAGACAGGGATGCTGTGGGGAGACAGGGATGCTGTGGGGAGACAGGGATGCTGTGGGGAGACAGGGATGCTGTGGGGAGACAGGGATGCCTGTGATGCTCTCAGGCCTTGTGTAGAGAACTGGCTGGGGGAGGGATATAGTTGCTGTTAGGGGGGTCAAGAAGTGTTGCTTGAAACGTGGTGTTTATCAGTTTTGACATTGTTACAGTGATTTCTGAACTCATAGAAGAATAGTTGACTTTCTGCTGGCTGTTAAATTATCTGCTAGAGAAGGCATTTTTTTATCAGTTAAGAGCTGCCAACTGAAGAGCCTTRATATGTGCTTTAGAATAATATACTGCAAACTGTGATACATGAAATTATTGACAAGCCATAGTATAGATTCTGTTTTGCAAGGTGGTGCATAATCTGAATTTAGCAGGGGAGCTGTGCTTCCAGAGAACGTGGGAAATGAACGGACAGCAAGTGTCTGTGTCAAACCAGGACATTTTGCAGCAGTCAGTCAGGTGTCAGCTATCTCTGGAYTGACTGCCTGTTGAAATTGAGTTGCTGGTAAAAAGAAGAAAACATGAACTGAGTATTGCTGAGCATTGGAACGTGTCCTCACCCTTTCCCTGCCACTTTCCTTCCATTCTTCCCCCACCCCTCTGAGCAAAAGAGACTTACAGTGGGAACAGCAATGGAGGGCAGTTGTTTTCACCTGATTTTTTTAAAAATACTGCTTAATTGTTCAAGATACTGCTGAAGATGGAAARTAATATTTGGGTTTTGACCTAGAGAATGGCAGTTTAATGTAGGCTGTGACCACAGTGCAGAATATACAGTGTAAAGCCAGGTGATTCTGTTGTCTGCCTGTTGAGGAAAGTCTAAGCACATAGCGCTACTCACAGATTGAAATCTGGAAAGAAGGTACTGGATTTTGGAGGGACTCTGGTTTCTTCATGTGTTCTGTCTCACCTGTCTGGCTATTGGAGCTGCAGCCCATGTCATGGGACTCACAAGTTGGTTTTGTTTCTTTCCTGTAAAGGATCACAGCACATAATTTCCTGCAGTGTTCTGTGCATTACCTTCTTTGTCTCTCCTATGTGTTCTCCTGTCCTCTAACCCACATTGTGTAATTCTACTCTTACTCTTTCCCCCTCACCTGCAATACTCTTGTTCTGCTTCTTTATCTCTCCTCTTTTACCTCCTCTTCAATCCTGGGTTGGGGTTTTTTTTTTTTCCCAGCGCTGAATCTTGATGTTCTTTCCTGGCTATGGGAGGCAAATGTGGTTTAACTTGGGGGTAGTCGGGGAGAGGCTCTTGCTTTTATCCCCAGCTTTCTGCTGGAGGCTGAACCCTATTTGCTAAAACGTCCAGCTCTGCTGCCAATTTCCAGCTTGCTTCAGTTCTTTTTATTTCAGGTTTACACACTGCTGCTGTGTTACCAAGTTGAACTTTTTTCTTTTGCCTAAGAGTAAATTATCTCTGGTTTAGAGCTGAGAAATGGTGGTTATAGGAAMTGTTGAGTGTGGGGGTTATTGGCCTTGGAGCTGAAATTCATTTCTCTGAAACTTGAACCAGTGCTCATGTTATTGAGAAAGTCAGGAATTTTTTCTATGATGACTGGTAATGTAATTAGTTTGTATGCAGTATTTATTGATCATACACGTAGTCTCTTGGAAACTAAGGAAATGCCAGAAGCTGAGTTCAGAAGGAGCTGCAGCAGCTTACTGAATCCTGGGGTCCATCAAGCATAGCATCACTAGCTAGTTGAGAGAGGTGATTGTCCTCCTCTACTCAGGTGTGGCCTCWGCTTGGGTTCTCTGTGCAGTTTTGGGTGCCACAATATAAGATTCTGTGATTTACAGTGCAGTTTTAATGGCTAATAGTCTTATGCTAGGTTACTATCCTGAAAAAGCATCCAGCATTTTTCAGTGAGCGCTGAGCTTGCCTCCTTCATTCTTTCAGTGCATAGAGAAGTGTGGCACACGTTTGTGTTCCTTCATAACTTSTGGCTTTAAAAGCTGACGGTTGTGTCTCRCTGGTGCCCATTAACTGAGCCATTTGTTTATGTAGCTGATGGTAATTCAGGGTGTTCAGGCATACAGGGCAACTTGTGATGGGTTGAAGCAGGAAGGAGATTCCTTGTGAAAATACATGGTACCTGCCATCAAAGCCTTCCCCCTGCCCTAGTTCCCGTTCCATATGGCTGTTACAGTGAGGCTGATGTGTTTTGCATTGAGCAGGTAGCAGGGAAAGGAGAGATGCTGTTACAGTCACAGTGTTGCAGCAATCTTCTCCCCTCAACCTTAATTGCTTTCAATTAATAGCTACTTCTGAAAGAAAATCATGTTAATATCACAGTAATAATTTCAGTCTCTGCTTCCAATCACAGATTCACTTGGTGGGAGGGAGAAATGTTTTCAAATCCTAAGGAGTCTGTTTATTTTTGTCTGGGAATGCCATGACATTTCTTAAGCTGACTTAAAGTGACTGGAATTGAGTTGGTAATGGAGAGCCAACCTCGTTATTTATCTTTGATCACTCTGAAGCAGTCCCAAATACTACAACAGCCTTCTGCTATTTGTTTAGAGTTGCTAAAAATGCAGGAAATGGGGGGGAGTTGCACACATATCTTGCATTTTTGACTAGCAACTGCCTTGTTAGTTGAGAGTTGTCTACGTACATTATTGTTTGTGTAGGATCAAGCAAATACATCTGTTGGAGCTGACTCCAGTTCAAAATCKAATTTAAGGAAGCTGATGGAGTACAAAGAAAGGAGACCATGTTGTTTAGTGTAATTGTGGTACAGAGGTAGTGTAGCTGATGGGAAGTTTCTTTGTGTGTGTCATAACAAGGGGCAGAGCCTTGGACAAACCTTTTGTAAAGGTGCTTGCCTGAAAGCCTGGCTGCTCTGCGGCAGAGCCCACTGCTGCTGATCATTTGAAGTGAGCATTTTGATTCAATTTACTACAGGGCAGGGTTCTAAAGTAACTTTTTTTTTTTTTTTTGAAAGCAAAACCAAATAGTTGGCTTGCCTAGCTGGAGGGGAATCAGTGAATAAGTAGTGTCAGAAATAAACGATTATTTTCCTTGGCYTGGAAAGGGATGAAGAGAAGTTTCTTTCTCTGAGCAACCTCCTAGAAGAAACAACAGATTGTTTTTGTTTTTTCTTCTCTGTGCCGGGGGAATTTTATCCCAAATAACACAGAGAGATAAACATGTATACTTCTTTCCTTAGTGGTTTGGTTCAGCTGGCAAGTCACACATACTTGGAGAAGCATTCCACACATACATGACCAGGTTAAGTCGGTGAGGGTGAGTTTGTTCTGTTTTGTTCTAGGCCAGAAAGGAGGATGCTGAAATCATAAAAATGTAAGATGGTAGAAGTCTACCTGAGRTGAAAAGTTTTGTAGAACAAGTTGATGAGGGTTATTGAAACAGTGGCRGATTTTAGGGAAATACTAGTTTAAAGCTTGTTTGGGTTAGCAATCTAAATGTCTSTGGTGTGCATTGTAAAAAATCTGCTAATTCAGGGGGAGCTTTCGGACGTGGAAGGAAAGTATAAGAACTCTGGTCTCCTGCTGGAAGTCTGAGAGATTGTGTTAAATGCTAAGACATGGTTTGGGTGGAAGGGAGGTAATCTGGAATGGAACTTGATAGTGTGTTGGCATAAAAGCAAGTTATACTATTTACTGGTGTGATTTCTGAGAATGCATGGATCCAACAGGGAWCACAGCCTTGGGCAGTTCTTAGTTGTGTTGTGGATTAGGATTTTTTTTTCCAAATTTTGTGGTTGAAGGTGCATRCAGAGAGGGAAAAGAGACAGAAGGCAGCGCTCATGCAAATGAACAGAAGTAAACATATAGCTGGTTATTGAGAAGAGACGGTAATTTAAGGAGAATGGTGATTTAAAAACTGATCCAGAGGTATGGGGCAAAGATTGGTGAAGAACTCAGTAGAATAATTTAAGGTTTATGTAAGAGGAAGACAGTAAAAAAGCTTAAAATGAACTGAACGAGTTCCAAGCAATGAACATAAAAARCTTTCTGTTAGTGTAAAAAATACAGGAATATGATATTTGCATATAGGRCAGGAGTTAAGCACTTTGTGGGATCGCTTGGAGTTGTGTGTTTTTTTGGTTTTTTGGTTTTTTTTTTATTCTTAAGGGCCTGGGTAAAGTATCTTTTGCACATCAATTTTTAACAGGTAGATTAATTGCATTTCCAATTGCAAAAACAGTTCCAACTTTYGCTCTGTGGAAGTTGACAAAATAGTTAAAATTCTTTAGGGATTTCTCGAATTAGATTGCTTGCTCACTGTAGACCTTAAGGGTCTAGTAAGAATTTTTAGACAGTTTTCCTGTGTTCTGTCGGTTGAGGCTGGTCCCTTGCAGGAAAGCTTTCTGAAACCTGGAGTAGAATAAACATTTTGTGGACATATCTGGAGTATCT